CTTAAGAAGGGCCCTTAATAATCCTTACTGCTATTGTTCCAACAGTCTCCCTGTGGTAGATGGCCGGGCGATTGGAATCACTTTGAAAACCTCATCCATGTCTCCGTGCAACCCGATGGACAGATTTTCTTCAGCAACGGTCAATACTGTATAGCTATACACTCAGGCTACGATCCCAAGTTGAGAGCTCTGAGCAGTTCACAAGCGGTGTGCCAGGCAAGCTCAAGCCGTTTCCGTTTAGTATGTGAGTGCAAAACGATAAAAGATATTATATCATTGTAAACAGTTTGAACCCAATAATCCTGTCAGAAAAAGATGATTTATGATATTGATTTGTGATGTTGAAGAAAAAGAACTCCAAGCCAAATCTGAAGACAGAAGACAACCTGAGCAATCTTAGTGGGGTACCAAAGTTCGTCTACCTTGAGAGGCCCAGCTGAAAGCTTCTGTAGTTCCAACCGACCACTAACTGATCTGCGGTCAGGTCAGCAAATCTCGGTTCCTTTAACATTTGGATACGGTAATACATGGTTATTTGCCATATGGTTGAATTCGCGAGCGGTAAAAGCCCCATTGATACTGCAACGAAAGCAAATTACTCTTTTGTATATTGGCCTCGTTCTTCTTTTATTATTATTATCTTTCATCGAAAAAGACCCAACACCCAGCCATCTTGATGGAACAAGGTTGGTCAAAAACGCATATGTATGAACAGACAAAATTAAATTGATTAAAAACACACAACCTCGTTTCCTGTCGTCCCCGGCGAGTTCAAATGTGACGTCACCCGTCAAACCTCTTCCGTTTACTCCCATAGCGCGAATTGGCATGAGGACGAGGCTGCATAAATATCATTTTATTCCTTTATCTTTGACTAGGTAAGAGGGTAGGGAGCTAATTCTTAACTATACCAGTCACGCCCTCTTTACTCAGGGCTAGATCAGACGCCGAACTTCAAATTGAAAAGGCTCAGCCGTTTGTTTCCGGTTAGCCCGGCTGGAAATTTTGACTTAAAAGCTATTTTAGAACAGCTTTGATTCAGACAAGGAACTTTTCATGTGTCGAACCTAATGCAAGCAGGTGCAACGAAAAAAGCACTTTTCTCCTTTTGAATTTAAGTTGTGGATTTAGAACTATCCAGATGCGTGTGGACGGGGCATAGGTAACAGATACCCTATGTGAAGAACATGTAAACTTGTAAACTTTTCTTCGCCATTCCAACTCCTACAATTGGTAAAAACACACAAAAAAAAACCTTTAAAAAATAGAGTTTTTATTTCCTAAACTTCCTTTTTGTAAGTTTATGCGTTCTCCGTGTGAAAATGAAAATATTTCTATGTAAGGAAAGCGTATTGCGCCATAACAAAAGAAATTGCTTCCGTTTTACCTGGATCATTACTAAAGAACAAAATGTGAATTTCAATTTCTAGCTTCAGGCATGTCCTGGTTTGCTCGTGATTCTTCTCCTCAGCAAGCCACAAGTATCGACACAAGCGCAAATCACTGCGATTATTCAGGCAGAAGGCTCTGTACAGCAGCTGAAGTTTGCCCCTCCAGCCCTGGTGGTCAGAGTGTTGCGGGCGTCACTGGCGGAAGTTTAACAAAAGCTCTTCTCGTGGTAGGAGACACATTCGTGGACGCTGCGACTTGTCAAAGACTCTCCCAAATATCAAGCTATACCGTTGATGGTTTTTTATGTTGTCCTACCGGTGACCTGCCAAGTCCTAAAGACTTTGTCAGTGACGGTGAGTGACGTAGAGTGGAAATTATTCTCCTCCACAGAACACTACCCTGGCCTTTTGTTTGTAAATAAGGTAGTTCAATTAAGACAAACAACCCAGCAAGCTGAGAGGAATCCTGTGTTCTGATTGGCAACCCGGGTGGGTAAAATGGTTCGTTGTTGCCCGCTCGGGATTTCCTGCGTTGATCCTCCAATAAAAACTATGTAAAAAATGTGTCTAAATAAGGCAGTTAGAATTCTTGAAAAACAACCTAACTAAAAAAAAAACACATTAAGGTCAGATGCAGGACAGTTTAGCTTGCAAATGGTCTCGAAAAGAGGTTTGTATCCCTGGGATACGAAGCTAGGTGGTGACTGAGCGTACCTGGGAAATTTCCAAAGAGGATAAAGCCACCTTGAAATTCCTTAAACATAAAGTTAAGCCCTTTCTGTCCCATCATAATCACTGTCGCATGCACAGGTACACTGACTGCTCGCCACGCTCAATAATATGGAAAATCCATATTAGTGGGGGACGAAATCCTCGCAGAATCTTTTAGATTAATGAAAGAAACCCCTGTTGAGAAGTAGGCGTAAGAGCACAAGTTGGTCTAGGCTAATACCCGAGGGAAATTACAACCTCGGTGAAGAAAAACTTGTGGCACTTCCGATAATTTTTTGGCATGCACAGTGTAGTCCCCTCATCCCTTGCATGGTTGAAAATGAGAGCAAAGGGGTCGTGAAGAAGGATAAGGGGAAAATCGGCCTAGTGCCCCAACT